ATGCCACGTCATCAGCTCCTGTCCCCCCCGATATGCCCCATCATCATCTCTCGCCCCCCCAATATGCCACGTCATCAACTTCCGTCCCTCCTTATGCCGCGTCATCCATTTGCAAGAGAGGCAATTTCTCAGTGCTCCCAAGCCGCCTCGATCGGACCCGCGCTGCCAGTAGCGCCGTAGCGTAAGGTGGCAGGTGAGTTGATGATCGGTCTTCTTTTTTTTTTTCTTTTTTTTCCCCTGCTGTTCAGTCTGACTCCGTGCGTTGCGTCGTCTCGCCATCACGGGATGGAAGCGATCCCGATCCCATTCAGGGCATGATCCGCAAAACTATCAGCGATCGTTGGGGAGATGGCTGCATCCCGATCCCGATCCCATTCAGGCGTGATTGGCAATAAGAACTATCAGCCATCGTGGGGAGATGGCTGCATCCCGATCCCATTCACAGGATGTAAACGATCCCGATCCCGATCCCGTTCCGCGCACGTAGCGCGGTAGCGTAAGACTGCTGCTGCGTGGATTACGTGATTACCTTCTTCCCGCGAATACAACGTAGTCCTGTCATTATAGCTTTGTGTTTAAGAGTCTTTAGACTGAAAGATACTCCAGACACCACAGCTAAAATAATGACCGTACGTTGTATTCGGGGAAGGAAGGGTAGTTCGTGCACGACGTGTCTGCGAAAACAGTCAGCCCTCGTAGATTTTGTTGTGCGATCATGCATCTGGACAGAATCAGGTCCAGGTACGTGATTCGGGATGGTGTGAGTCCGACAGCCTGCCGGGATGACCAACGGACCTATAGCCCAGGTGGTGGTTTAGACCCATGCGTTGTTGAAATACAGACCCACGTTCAAGTCCAGATGCACTCAGAAAAAAAAAACAAAAAAAAAACCCTGATATACGGACCTAAATTCAAGTCCAGATGCACTCAGACTCTATAAGCAATTGCCTGGGCCCGGTCAGTTCAAGGATGATATCTGAAAGGCCGTCGCCTTTTTTTTAATTTAATTAAGAGAAAAAAAAAGCAGCACGTTTTTATTTAAAAATAAAAAAGAAAAAAGCAGCATCCGGGATGACGTGGGTTGATTGGGTCACACACACACAGTCCTGGATGCTGTTGTGCTATCGCTCCTTAAGCGATCTAAAAAACTTGAAAACTAAAAAACAAAAAAACTAAAAAACTAAAAAACAGTACTCAGACTCTAAAATCTGAAATACAAGCGATCTAAAAAACTTAAACTAAAAAGGGAAAATTTTCGATATGCCCCTGAAAGTTCAATAAATGTGCACCGTGCCCCTCCGACGGCCGACTTACCTTGCCGTGCCCCTGGGGCCTTTGAACTTTCCTGCAGGCCCCTCTCTGTGAGGGTAGCAACTTTCTAGCATGCCCCTGTGGCCGTTGGTGGCACACGTGATCTTTCCCCTGGCTCTGGGAATGGAGCTACCGGGGCATACTAGAAATTTGGAACGGGTACCAATAGGGGTATATTGAACATTTTTCAGGCCCAAACAACACCAGTTTTTTTTCAGAAACTTCAATCTCTGTGAGAGGGGCGATGCAGGGTAAGTCGGCCGTTAGAGGGGCACGGTGCAAATAAATCGGACTTTGAGGGGCATATCGAAAAATTTTCCAACTGAAAAACTAAAAAACTAAAAAACAGCACGCAGACTCTAAAATCTGAAATACAGACCCACGTTCAAGACTGCGACCTCATCTACCCACGTCATGCCGGATGCTGTTTTTTTTTTTTTTTCTGTTTTTTTAAATAAATAAAATAGAAGCGTCGGTTGATTGGGTTGATTAATAAAAATTAATAAAAAAGGTTCCTTTTTGAAATAGAAAACGGTTGATTCGGTTGATTAATAGCAGCATCCGGGATGATGTGGGTTGGATGGGTCGCATTCCTGGAGCGTTGCAGTCCGATCTGATGACAAGTGGACTCAATCAGATCGGACTGCTCGATTGTTGGTTTCGTCGTTTCGGTTGTGCGACAGTCTAATTAAGTCATCAGAGGAGGAGCGGGGGTGATAGGCGGCAGTACCATCGACGGTCGGGACTTGTACGGTCGCAAAGTCTGTACGTAACAGCAGTTTCGATTGATCAACAATCGTTACAGTTTTCCCCCGAATAGAACGTACGGTCATATGGAGGTATTTGGACCACATTTCAGTCCAGGCGCAGCGAAAATGACTGTACGTTCTATTCGGGAGAAGAAGGTAGTCTTGACAGACTTTACGATCAAAAGGATATCGCGGGGGTGATCGTACGGACCATACGATCAACGGTCCGTACGGATCCTCTTGCTAATTTTCACTGACCAACTCAACGCAGATTTATATGCTCCAGCTAATCTGAGTGAATGTTTTCCAGAGATAGCTGGATGCACACTCCAATCTTACGGTGAGAGGGGGGTCACCTTTGGCCTTGTTTTGTTTAAAGAGCGGCCGAATCTATCTAATCCTGTCTGATCAACGGACCGTACGATCAACGGTGTTCACGATCGTGCAGACTGTGCGATTACACAACCGGCTGTAAAGCTGTCTCTTATACACATCTAGATGTGTATAAGAGACAGCCGTAACTCCGGTTAGGTACAGTCAGGAAAAG